CTCCAGCTTTTTCTGCTTAGAACACCAGCTTTTGGTTAAAATCAAAATTGATTTTCAAAATCACCTTTCAATTAACTTGGAAGTCAAAGAGGATCTTGTAACAGCCATAAAGAAAACAGAAGCTAATAGGCTACATGAGAAAATTGGGGTAGAAATTTGATTAAATCCAGGGCTCATGCTTAACCAATGTGAATGAGAACCATGCACTAGAAATGAGAGGCAGGACTTCCAAGTGATAATTAAGCAGAAAAAGAAGGACAATGTGATATTATTTAATTCACTCAGAGCAACATGGGTAATTCATGCTGTAGTACTACTGCATGACTACATGACTATTACATGACAAAAACTGTATCAGCAATTGCATAAAGTAGATAATTAAATATTAAATATGTACCTTCACGACCTTTAGAAAGTACTAGAATGGATGTCTACCTCAAGACCTAAATTTTCCCATCAGTTATTCCTCTCAGACCCTCTCGAATAAATGACAGTTGTGCGTGGGAAAGGACCTTCATAAACAGGACAACAAGGACACCAGTTTTCTGCTGAAATATTAAGACTGTTCAATGCATTTGCTTCCTAATTGTGAAGACTATTCCAGATAGAACCCACTTGTTTAAGTCTTAGCGGAGGCATAAAGTCAAGACCAGGGTACATGCAAGCATTGAAGACAGACACACTTACAGCAGGATGGGACTGCAGCATTCAGTAGTGGTGCTGCCAGGTGAACGCAGAAAGCTTCATAAAATCCTAGCAGACAGAGTGATTTACATCCATAGCTGCTATTTATAGTAAAGCTTGTAGATGAAATTAATTCTGTACTTACTTAATAAATACCAACAACAGACTGGGCACAGCATGAGCAACATGCTATGGTTGACCCTTCTCTGAGCATTGGGCTAGATGATCTTCAGAGTCCCTTTCCAACATCAGTTGTCCTGTGGCTCTGTGGTGTTTAATTCATTCTGTTTGGGAATTATATGATGGCAAGATCTTCTTCAGTTAAATATTTTTGCACCAGAAAAACAGAGCCATAAAAACCTAAAACAGCTATCCTCCCTTCCCAAGAAGTAACCTGAAGATAGCATAGTCATCCTTTTTGTACAGGCATACAAATCTCAATGACACAACACCCATCAGAAACTTCAACTTGTATGTTGTTCAGAGGTGATGGCTGTTTTTATGTCAAAACAGAATCAGCTATTTTTCATAAAGCTTCCACATACCATCAACAGGTTTCATTGGAGTTACCACTTTTTGTGCCAATGCCACTGATGAAAATGCTGAATGAGTTTGGTCTCAAGACTCATCCCTGAGAACCACCAGAAGTAATCTTCCTTCTGTTTAGTATTTCCCTTTTCAGGAGTGTTTAAAAATATACAGTGCTTAATTTTCCTAAAACTAGTAGACTGTTCTGATAGATTTTATTAATTAAACTGGTTTTGGAGTGTGCTCATAATAGCAGGGAAATAATTTAATGGTCAGAGCAAGATGAAAATTCTTATGTTGACCAACATTATGTGGAAAAGGAATGAGACTGAGGGTGATAACTCACCAAAAAGAAATTCAGGAAAAAGGTTTGATGAGCCCCCAGGCTTTGTGAAGGGGATTAGAATAAAATTAGAGCAGAAAAACATTTAGCAGAAAAGGGGTACTAACTGCTGATGGATTACTGGAGACAAGAAGGAATAGAAGAGGATTTCCAGAAGATGGAAACATCTCCTAGCTGCTCTTCTTTCAGTAGGATAACCAGCTCCTGGGACATTTTTCTAAATTAGTATTGTTCAGAAGATGTTCAAATATATTACCTTCAGTCTCTAAGCAGTCTGGACATGCTTTTATTGCCTTGTTTTCCTATGATTCTTACTTCACTGTTTCCACATTTTATTTTTCTCACAAAGCAGATGGCAAGCCAGAAAAAAGCACCACTACCTTAAACATTTAGCAGCATGTGAATTCCCATGCGTGAAGGCTTTTTCTTTTCTCAAGTTCCTCTAGGCCACTAGATCAAACTGCAGAAGTTGTCAAAGCTGGCTAGACTGTGCTAAACATTCCCAGAGAATCATGTTTATACACACAATCATCTATATATTACAGGCACAAAGCAAGGAAGAGCAACATATCTAACACACACGTATACACACACAAGTGCCACTTTTGGGAATAATAGTGAGAAGGTAATTAAAATAGTGATACAGATTGCCAAAACATTATCTCAATATCAAAATAATGCTTTTATCCCAAAGGCAATACTTTTTAGACAGCACTCTGACAAAAAATGGTGGTTTGGGGGTTTTCCTTTTGGTGATTAGTTGATTTTTTGGGTTAGTTTTTTTTTTTTTTTGGTACAGAAGACTTTTTTTTCCCCTCTCTCGAAAAAAAAATTGTAAATCTTTTTGAACTAAAAAAATTCCTGGGTAAACTGAGACCTTAAAAGAAAAATTACTACGCACAAAACACACATTCTGTTTAAGTAATTACATTAAAAGTATAAAACTGTAGATGAGTCTAAACCTTCAATGGAACTTAGCATGGTTTTCCTCCTGTTAAACAACTACATGTTTTATCTTTCCCAACAGTACAGTTCAAACTAAAAAAAAATTTAACTGGGAAATCATTTGCAGCGTAGTATCAGAGAGAAGTATTAATTAAGTATGGCCTTTGAAATTTGATCTGCTAACTTTGGTTAATTTCCTGTCTTGAAAAACCATTTGAGGGCATGTTTCTCTATTTTGTCTTCTGTCACCACTAAAATATTTTGGACAGGGGAGAAGTAATTGACTGACATCTCATGTCAGGCTATTTCATGTGTCAGTTTTATAGACATGCCTGGAAAATGTGGTCTTCCAAAATGTGAGTTAGAAAACTGTGCTCACAAAGTAAGTCAAAGTTTAGTACCTCTACTAAACAGAAGAATGAATGGAGTGAAGCTTAAGGCCAGAACTGTTCAGTGTTTTCATTAGTGGTCTGGATGTTAGAAATGAAGAACTTACTAAGTTCACCCATAATACCAAATTGAGGAGAAAGGAGCATTCAAAATCATCTTGACAAACCACTGGACTCGTACAAAAATGGGGTGCAGGTCCATAGGGTTAAATGCCAGTTACTAAACCCATATGGGAATAGTCAGCTGCACAAACACAGAATGGAAAAACAAGTGACTTCCCAGTAACTCTGCACAGAAGAATCCAAGGATTATGGTGTATCACAGCGTGAACATAAACTAGATGTTACGCCACTGTGAAGTAGATGAACATTATACTCTGTACATGAATAAGAGCACTGTCTGTTGAGTGCTGAGTTGAAGGGAAACCTCTGCAAGCTTTGGAAAGTCCCTGCAGCCAGAACTCCATTGGCATGGAAGGATAGCAAAGATCCAAGCTTTTCTCAGAGTCTAAATCAAAGAGCACGGAGTATCATATTAACTTAGGTTTCTAAGAAATATGTTCTATGCCATGAGGTCTTACTACTGAGTTCTCTTTCCAAACATCACAGGTTTGTTTGAAACACATTTTACTTGGCTTCATCAATGAAGACCATGGGTATTCCATTTCAGTACACTGGGATGAATGAGTTTGAGGATAAAGCAGGTGTCCCCACTTCTTGTGGACGAACATGCATTATAAGGAAGTTCTACTGCAACACTACCTCAGCCATCACAAACAATTTGTGCTCATTTCTGTGGGTATTTCCTCTTCAAAGTCAACTGGAAAATGGAACTTTATCAGCAGAAAAGCAATAATTTCTCACATAAACCCATAAAGGAGCAATTCACTAACTTCTCACATGGTTTTGCAGACTGACCTATTGTAAGGAGGCTTCGAGGGGAGAGGAGAAGTCTCTGTGTACACTCTGTGTCTCAGCTGACTGGAAACTGGCTCCACACCATGGCTACCCTAATTAGATGACAAATGTGAGCTCACACAAGTGAAGGTATGTATCTGCCATCATGTCATTTTCTGCTCAGCTCCTTGTTTGATTCTACAAACCTCAAAAAAAGGGAAAAGAATAAATATTCTGACAGACTTTATTACATCTGCAACTGTGTGTAATATTTCCTATTTACATAACATTCTACTATCCGAAACCAATAGTTTCTTGAAAGCAAGAGTTTTGCAGGATATTCAGCTCCATTTACCTTCATTTTCTGCTCCAGGCACAATTAAACCAAGCTCTTGCATTTTGGGTTAAGTCATGAAACATTTTCACATTAAAACTGAAACTATATACAAGCTTTTGCCGAATGCATTGTCAGATCAGCACTGGAAAATTTTAAATCAGGCAGTGTCTATGAACGGGTGTATGAATAGGTCTTTTGTGGTCCTGTCATTTCTCAGGCACAAAGCCTTTGTAGCAAGGAAAATATTTTGGTCATTCATATTTTCACTGTGTGATTTATAACATTGTCCCAAAGCCCTTTGTGAATTTAAAGTGCTGTGACCATGTTTTTCAGAAAGGAATGCTTAAATATAATATTCCCAGATCCTTGTGTAGGTTCTTAAATGAGGCCCTGATTCTGAAAATACTGATGTGGATGCTTTTAGTTAAATACAGGACTGAATTTTGGCAGAATCAGGGCCTAAATAAGCCACCATTTCAAAAATACCAGCTAGCTTCCAAGGACCATTGCAAGCCACGGAGCACAGAAGCAGGACTATGTCACATAGTTCTGCTGACTTTAATGGGATTACTCCTGCCTTTAAAACACTTGTTGAATGACATCTTTTTTGAGATGGAAGAACTGGATCCCTCTGCCTTAAATGAGAATTGATTAAGATCGCAAAGCAATTAAAAAACGGCAACATGCCTGCTTAGTTCTGTACACTTGATTTTGACTGCTGACAGTAAACACATGTGTCTAATTTCTTCTTTGATGAAGCCTTAATTCTAAATGAATGCATCAGCTTTGGGCAGGAGAAGGTCATGCAATAACATACTTTGCTAACTAGTCCCTTTAGTCACAGACTTTCTAAGCAAATAAAACCAAAATTGATGCGTTTTTAGAATGCATTTTATTTTTTTAGAAATGACTTCAAGAAAAATAATGAAAGACCAAAAATTACCATTGCAAAGGCTTTCTATTTCTGGGTTTCTACAGAAGGTTGAAACACAGTCAATATTGACTTTATATGCACTTTACTGTGAAAGGCAAGAATATCTTACAACGCATAACGCGGCAGAGAACATCCAAGTAAAAAGTGAAAGGACATTTCTTTGGATACTTCAAGACAGAAGGTATTCTAACTCACAGTTTAGGAAGCTATATCTCAGTCAAAGTTGAAGATGATTTAGCTAGACTACATCTGTGCTGAGATTCTCAAGAAAGGGGCAGTGTATTAGGTAAGGACAGTGATAGCCTTCATCTTGTTTACATCTGACATTCTCTAGGGACACCTTGAAACCATTTGATCCTATATACAATCAGCAGCCAGAGACTGTTAGGAAGTAAAAATGGAGCTCCCTATCCCTGCATACACATGATAAAAGATCTACACAGAGGCTAAACATATTTCCAGACCATCACAAATCAAGTTTAGCAGACCAAGGGTCTACAATAGCATAGTGAAGAATGGGGAAAAGTGCCACACAAGAGAATTAGAGCAATATGTCATTGAATACCACCTCAGAGTAAAGATTTTGGCTCAGTGGCTATAACAAATCCTTTTAGTTTTACAGCTTATCTCTATCAGAAGCAGCAGTCTCCCAGTTTCTCATCTAGCACATAGCTATATGTCATCAAATAGATCCTCTGGCTCACAAGTGTTTTCCAGTGTTTCAAGAGACATGGTATCCAGGGAATGCTTCTCCAATGTCTTCTGTGAGGCCAGAACAGGTCTGGAAATATAAAGAAAAGAAATTTGAAACAAATTTAGATACAGATATAAACAGTTCCAACATACACAGTGCCAAGGTAACCATTTAATAGTGTATTTTGAGCTTTATGTAAGACCTGATTACTTGCTGAGATGGCAATGGTAAAACAAACAGATGAACTTCAGCTTATAAGTGTCAGGGTTTCAGCTATTTTGTTACAGTTTTTTGGACCTTGATAATTACTATTTCACCCACAATTTACACATGGAGAGCTAGGGAGAGCAGAACAAATGCAGAAAACATGGAAAGGATCTGCTCTTCTGTTACTGCAGAGGATAATGCTCTCTGAGTCTCTTTATTTTTTCCTGGCACTAAGCACGCATCTGTTGTCCATTGGTTTGACATGGAAGCATGTTGAAGAATCAGGCTAAGTTGCCTCACAGGTAAAATGCTAGCCTTTCTCCAAAGTAGAGCAGAAGAAAACAAAGGCAAATGAAAAAAATCCTTCCATAAGGCATGAGTCCATGTATTTGGGAACTTTCAAATCCCTGGCCTTCCGCTGTACGTGTGTAATGCTTACATTTGCTATAAATGTATGCAAACAGGAACACTTGCAATTCACTGACATGTGGATTGCTTGGGTGCGGGTTTGCCCTTAGATCGCTGGACACCACAGAGTCCTACCTGAAAACTGAAACTGAAAACGCCTGAATCAGACACCCATGACATTGAATAACATGCCACATTACATCAATTTGTCCTGTTTAGCACTCCTTTGACTGTCCTCATGAAGGACATCAAGCCTAGAGAAAAGAAGGCTCAGAAGAGACCTTGTAATGGTCTTCCAAGGGGACCTACAAGAAACCTGGAGAGGGGCTTCAGACAGAAGCCTTTAGGGCAACAGGGAATGGCTTTAACCTGACAGAGGGGAGGCTGAGATGAGCTCTTAGGCAGAAGTTCTTCCCTATGAGGGTGGTGAGGCCCTGGCACAGGTTGCCCAGAGAAGCTGTGGCTGCCCCATCCCTGGCAGTGCTCAAGGCCAGGTTGGACAGGGCTTGGAGCAACCTGGTCTAGTGGGAGGTGTCCCTGCCTGTGTCAGGGGGTTGGAACTTGATAAGCTTCAAGATCCCCTCCATCCCAAACCATTCCATGATAGGATTCTATGATATGATTTTGGACTGATTGGAGTATCATTAAGGGTTGATGGCTTCATGCCCAGGCATAATCCACTGGTGTAATCCTGACAGAACGTGAAAAATCAGTACATTGCCAAGGCAAATACATCAGCCACCAGGATGGGAAAAAACAGACAGAAGTGATGGCAAGTGTTACCCTCAAATGCTGCCATATGAGGCCTTGCTGCAATAAGGCATGCAAAAGCAATCTAATATTATTCCAGTTCTGAAATCACTTTACTTTCAAACTACTAGTGTGTTTAGATTAGGAGAATTACTCTCTTTGGAAGTCTAACTAGCTTTTTCTGTAAACTCCTATAAAACACTTTCCTTCAGGTCTGAATAAATTATGTCCAAGCATTTTTTCCCTTTTGGTATGCAGTGACATCGAGACAGATGTGTGCCTCATCAGAAGTCACTCAACAAACCTGCCAGAACAGAACCCTTAGCCACTGACTGCTCAGCAAGATCATATCACTCCATGCTGTTCTGATTGTTTGCAATCAATCAACTTATTTGTACCCTAATTTTTTTTATTTTTTAAAATATAGGTAGCCTACAACAACACAGTGTGACACTTGAGTTTAATTATCGAACGTGTTCTTTTCCTTTTCTAGGCTGATCTAAAGCATTCCAGCATTTTCTGATTTTGAAAAGTAAGCCTGACAGTGCTTAAGCAATTTCAAAACAACAGTCCTCATTGGCTAAAATAACTATTTTCAACACTGTACATGAGATCACATCTATAATCCAAACCACTGTTGAGTTTTAACATTACACAGTTTGAACTATTAAGCTTCTGTGTTCTTGTAATAACATGGTCCTCATTTAATCTCCAAAAGCTGTAATAGAATGCCTGTGTGTAAATCCAACTATACTTGCAAAGTAGAAGCATTAATCTCTTTAAACGAAGTTCATAAGCAACTTAATTTTGGTTTTAAGACTTGATGATTCCTGTTTGCATGGCAATTATTCACTAAATGCCAACAGCTTGGTTTGTGCTGTGCAATTATTTTGCATCTTGGATTCTCATTGAAGCTGTATTACCATACTCTTATGCACAACTGAGTTAATTTCCTTAAATTGCAGTGAGTTGTATATCTTCTCTTGCCAAAAAGTCTGTAAGCAAGGCATTCTTCTTGAAAGTTTACTCTTCTGTTGTATCACTTTTTAAAATCTTGCCTTTTGGTAAACTTAAACTCCATTAACACATCTGGAGAACTGCTGACTATATAAGAAATCATTTCATATTTCCTGACATTTAGTTCCCTTCATAAATTGACACAGAAGACCAGATCCACAGCTGGTGTGAATCACTGGAGTACTAATAATGTCAGTGGAACTCTGCTGACTTACACCAGCTGAGATTCTGGCCCGAGATTTGGAAGAAAGTGGTTAGATTACTTGATATTTCTTTCCACAGCTGAGTAGGAGCCATAGGAAACAGAAGACACGCAACACTTTTATTACCTAACTAACCAACAGTGCAGAAATGCAAAACCATGCAGGGTGATGGCTTTGCATAGCTTGGGAGAAAACACACCACCTCCTTTTGAAGCAGGATGGATGGACTAGTCCTTTTTGTTTCTCGTGACGAGTTCACACAGATCCTAGAGAACATCTGCACACTATTCCTGCTGCCACAGACAGCCTGTTCCACAAGATAATGTTTGTGAAGCAGTATGACATAGAAAACAGGCTCCTATACAACTACTACAAATGACATGATGAAGAAGAGCTTCTGAGTGGCAAATAGGCCAGGTTAGATGGGGCTTGGAGAAACCTGGTCTAGTGGAAGGTGTCCCTGCTCATGGCAGAGGGCTGGAACTGGATAAGCTTTAAGGTCCCTTCCAACCCAAACCAGTCTAGCATTCTGTGAAAAACACCAAAAAAAGGTGTAGCCATGATGAAGGAAAATCAGGTCAGAGGCTGCAACATCAGCACAACTGCTCATCTTGAGGTACTATTTGCTAAAAATACGAAAGGTTCTTGCATTTAGCTATGCTTGCATGGCCAGTCCAGCACACTGTGGTTACAATTTTACTCAAGTTTTTGTTCTCAAGCAACTCTCATGAGCTTTGAAAAGAGAAATATTCTTGTAAATTCACATAGCTATAAAAGTTTCACAAGAAACTTAAGTAATCTAGGAGGCATCCTTGTGTCTTAGACCATTGCATGATTCCCCTTACTTTTTTAGTAATTAAAACAAGCAGTTCCAACCAAAAGCTGGCATTTTATTAAAAGAGGAGATTTCAGCTCTCCCAGAAAATGTGTAGGAGAGTTTTAGGAAAAGGCTGAATCTCTCAGTGTGTCTCTCTTTCCTTAGCTTGGTTTAATGGTTCGCTTTTGGCATTAATAACCAGAGTAGATATTAACAGAGGATATAATCTGATATATACTTTCGCTGGTATCATAAAAATAGGTGGCGGCAGCAGCTCATAAACAGAGAAGTCATATTTATTAGAGCATTGGCATAGAAACAAAGGTGAGGCATCTCAAACACTAATGAACGCTTGCATTGTGACTGATAGGGCAAAAGCTCAGAGCAACATTTGTGCTCCAGAGACAGTACTTTTAGTCCACCCTGAGAGAAAAACTTCTATTCTTTGATTTATCATCAGTCTGCTGTCTTGGCTGTATAAACATTGTTTTCACAGAAAGTACTCAGAAGAGGGATACTCACCAGCCATGGTTATTAAGGAAGGATTATGAAAAGAGCTTTGAGTAAAGCTCATGGCTATATGTAAAACCTTGGCCTTGAATAACCAAGGCCCTGCAGTGTGAGCTCTTGGGAGACATCACACTGACTGCCTAAGGCTCCTGGCCAAAAAGGAGGAAGTTCAACCATGAAAAGAAAAAGAAATTGTGTAATGGAGGAGGGGAAAAAGCCTCTTACATGAATAGATGCATCTAGAGCACTGTGTGCAGACAGATGTTTTTAAAGTTTAATATTAAAACTGTAAGTAGATTAAATTGAAACTACATGTGATGAAAAAGATGAAGCTATTCCCCTTTACTGATATGCTACAATGACTACAATATATGGTAAATTATAGAAGCATTTTAAATTTTAATTCCATTTCAAATGGAAACTGAAACTCATTAACTGCCTTTAGGCTTTGGCAGTATTATGAGTATTCAGCTTCCAGATACAGTCTACTCTGGCATTTATTCCTAGAAATAATAAGAAAACAAACACATATATTTCTAATTGATCTTGCAAAATGTAAGCCCCAGTGAGTCATGAAGAGCTTGCTGGATACAATCACCTTCATGGCCTGAAATTACAGCTGATGGACTCTCGCTTTTGTTATTAGCGAAGAAACTGAAATTTTATTGGCCAGTTTCAACCTGTGAAAAATGCTGCGGTGTCAGATATAATCAGAGCCCAAGTTTTACCTGGCCCCAGCACAAACTCACAGAGGCTAGAGAAAAATACTCAAGAAACAGCTAAAAAGAACACTTAAGGGTTATTGTCTCCATTCCTCCTAGAGAACCTTCTATGTGTGGCATTTTCTTACATGCAGTATACTAAACAGTCTAGTCTCAGTTAAAGTCAGCAGACAGGCAATGATGATGATAACCATATAATAATAAATTATGAGGTTTGTATTTTTATTAATATTGCTTTTAATAAATTTATAATAGATTGTTATAATATAATAATGTAATAATATAAACTATTATTAATAATAGTAAGTTTGTTCAATTACTCACTTAATGAAGAATATTTTCAGTGCAGCAAAACAAATTTAATATTCATCCAGGGAATCGATGTTCCTCAATAAGCTTCCGCCTCTGCCTGAAAGACAAACTGCAACTGCACCTGCATTCATTCCAGTCACT